TCTTTACTAATTAATTTTGTTTGAAATTTTCCAAAAAATTAAAGGGGTTTTGTATTTACATGCAACAAAATTTTGAAGATGTTTAAACGTGTTTCGCGTAACTTATCTATGTAACATGCATAAATTTGGATTTTTGAGCCAGATCTAATATATAATTTGGCACGTGATTCCCCCTACCCTTAAATTTACAAAGCTAATTGATTTCTTACCACAAAATTTAAAGAATGCTAGTGATTATTCAAAATGTCTGGATATCTTTTTCAGGTTGAACTATTAGTTTTAAAAAAGAATTAATATTTTCATAAAATTAATATTTTATTTTTTATTTTTTATTTTTTATTTTTTTAGCTTTACTGAAATTCAAAATTATCTTGAGCATTCTATAATACCAGTTCCTGCAGATTTTCCAGGGCAGCTATATATTAGATGCTCCATCATACAAAAACTCAAGCTCAATGAATTATCTCCAATACCAAGCATTGTCACTCATCTTGTGCCTTTTTTAGGTGCTTTACATGCTTCTCTTAATACTCGTGAAAGTTGCTTTTTGACATTTTGGAGTTTCTTCAATGAATTTTATAAGGCTGTATTTCAAAAAATAAAAAATTTGCCAGCTAAACCCAAGCCTTGGAAAATTAATATTTTGCTATATGTAGCTCATGCATCATGGAGAATAGTCAGGAAGCATGTTATTAAACGTTTTGATAAAAATAAGGATTTGGCATACTGCACTTTTTTTGATTTATTAGATTCCTCAATACCTTCTACTTTAGATCTTTATGTAGTGCTTTTTTGGGGTAATCATTTGAAAAATATGTTGAGACAACATTCAAGCTGTGGACAATGATGTGTCAATTTCAAAGAAAGAATTATAATAAGATAATGCTTGCATTTTTATCTGATATTCAATATTGGATTAAAATTGGCCACCCCATCATTCAAATACTTAAAGCTCACCTCAATGCTTTTGATGGCGTGATGGGATCTTTATTGATTATCAACATCATGATAATGACTTCACACAAAATTTTAGAGTTAAAAAAACATATCCATATTCTAAACAGAATATTGATACAATGGTAAAAAGTGGTGCAATTTTTTTATTAAAACTTTTTGACAATTTTTCAAAAAATTCAGGCAAATTTGGAGTGAAAAGGGAAGGAAAAAAAATCAAAAAGCCTTACTGGTATTTTTCAGGAATTTCTAAAGGATTTCCTGGAGGAGCACTTTCATTGGGACATCATTCAAATCAATCTCCAGAACCTAATCATTTCTGTGATGCAAGTGAATGTGAAAATCCTTTTCTAATTAGTGGAAGCATTAAATTATGTGGAATAAATTAAATTGCATTTGTGTTTATTGTCATAATTACCTTTCAGATTCAATTGATGAATTGTCTAAATCATATAATAAACAATTAGAAATGGACAATGACACTCAAGATGAACTTGAACTACCTAATGATGATTTATTAGAAGAAGAATCAAATAATGTTGATGCAGTCCCTGCTTATGAAGAGCTAAATCAAAAATTAAATAAAATGCTTATGGGTAAATATTCTAATATTATTATA